GAGTATATATTCTTATGCACTCAGCCTCTGATTAAAGATGCTTATCAAAATGGACCTTTTTACCCGCAGCATTTCCCTGTATTTCAGTACACCAGCTTAAAAAGTGTCCTTTTCAAGCTCAAACTGACGTGCGCCGTGGAATTCATAATCGATCCATGTGGACTGAGAGTCAAATCACGGCAAATCAGGATCTTCTTGATCCAAACACCTTTAGGTTAAAAATTTATATCATCGACCTTCATGCTACCTGCTCCCCCCCCCCTTATTTAGCATGGACCATTCTGGAAGCATAATATTATGCCTCACATTGAGTCGAATTGCATTTTCAGTTTGTGGTCCAAGTGACAATGGGGCAATAAAGGTTATCTTTATATTTATCTTTATAATTCACACCAAAGTGGTTAGCCAATGCTTTCGCGAGTGGGTACAAAGAAATATTTAGCGTACAGTCACTGATAACGTTATGAGGTACACATGTTGGACTATTCGTTGAAGCAAATATCTAATCAGCCAATCATATGTGGGCAGCACACTGTATAAAATCGTGCAGCTACAGTCAGCAACCACACCATCTACAGTTTAGACCTGGTAATCCATCTGAATGATGCTTAGCAGGTCTGGTCCTGGCCAGCACTTGGGGGGAGACCACCTAGGAAGGCTGACAGGTTAGGCCCTCCTGGGGTCAGTGTGGACCCCAATGCCCCAGTAGCCAGGGGTGGTACCCCCATGTCCGGGCTAAAATTGCCCCTGTGGCCCTATCAAATCTGGCCTCCTAATCACCCCCTATATCTAACTGGTGAATTCGCTCCTCATTCTTAACCACCTTAGCTACTGTGTGGTGAGCGTACTGGTGCAGAATGGCTGCTGTCACATCATCCAGGTGTGGGCTGTCGAAGTGACTCCCCATTGGTTCTGTAAAGCACTTTTGGTGTCTTGAAAAGTGCTACATAAAAATGTAACATTCATTCATACAGGTCAGGAGCTTCAGTTAATGTTCAATTGAAACATCATATGGGGTAGAGAGGTGATTTAAGTAACTTTGAATGCAGCTTGGTTGCAGGTGATATCCTGTGAGCGGCGGTTCTCTGGGTGAAAAAGTCTTTTTAATGACAGAGGTCAGAGAAGAATGGCTAGACTGGTTCAAGCTGATAGAAGTGCAACGGTAACTCAAATAACCGCTTGTTACAACCAAGGTATGCAGGAGAGCATCTCTGAAGGCATAGCATGTTGAGCCGTGAAGCAGATGGGCTACAGCAGCAGAAGACCACACTGCTCCTGTCAGCTAAGAGCAGGAAACTGAGGCTACGGTGGGTATGGGTTCACCCAAATTCGACGATGGAAGATGGGAAAAACATTGCCTGGTCAGATGAGTCTCGATTTCTGCTGCAACATCAGATGGTAGGATCAGAACTTGGCATAAGAAACATGAAAGCATGGATCCATCCTGCCTTGTATCAATAATGCAGGCTGGTGGATGGTATAATGGTGTGGGGGATATTTTCTCGGTACACTTTGGACCCCGTAGTACCATTTGAGCATCCTTTAGATGCCACAGCCTACCTGGGTATTGTTGCTGACCATGTCCGTCCCTTTATGACCACAGTGCGCCCAGCTTCTAATGGCTACTTCCAGCAGAATAACACACCATGTCACAAAGCTCATATCATCTCAGACTGGTTTCTTGAACATGACCATAAGTTCACTGAACTCAAATAGCCTCCACAGTTACCAAATATCAGTCCAATAGAGCAGCTGTGGGGTGTGGTGGAACCATGAAGGTGCAGCCGACACATCTGCAGCAACTGCGAGATGCTATCATGTCAACATGGACCAACATCTCTGGGGAATGTTCAGGTACCTTGATGAATGTTTGCTATGAAGAATTCGGACAGGTCTGAAGGCTATAGGGGCTCTGACCTGTTATTAGCAAGGGGTAACTAATAAAGTGGTCAATGACTTTATGTTATATGTATATGTGTGTGTGTGTGTGTGTGTGTGTGTGATGTATATGTATATATATGTGTGATTGAAAGATTGCTGGTTTGAACCAGCAAAGGGCCACCCCCAAACACTGAATTAGCTGCCCCCTGCTATGTCACGATGTCACATATGGGTTAAATGCAGAGGACACATTTTGTTGTTGTGCACTGTGTGCTGTGGTGTGTCAACAATGACCACTGATCTCTAACTCCTAATATATATATATATATATATATATATATATATATATATATATATATATATATATATATGAATATGCAATATCTCACAGAACAAAAGACCTTTGGTGCTGATCAACACTGATACTATTATAATGGTAATCAGATCACTGATGTATACATTTAACTGGCAAACCCCAAGCACTGAGTCTCTACAGTCATTTTCCTGTCAACAGTGAATTTCTCATACATTTGTCCAGGTTGACGTTAATTCAGCCTGGAAAAAAAGTCAAATCATTAAACACATGCTCCACGTTGGATTTGCCTTTCATTTCGTTTATTCTCTCACATGTGCAACTCAGTCATCTTCATGTCAGTCACCAACATCTAAGCCAGGCACTGAACATGCAAGAACATAATGTAATGAGGTTAGTTTAATCATATGTGGCAATAGAGGTACTCTTAAATGTTCCATGTTGAATCCAAAATATAAATGTGGGAATGATGTAATCTCATAGCACCGCAGAGGAATTCTTAGACCTGCACATCTGCAAGTGATTTTAGCAATTTGTCCTCCAAAATATAGTATACTATGGTGTCCCCACCGCACTGGGGGTTCACTCGCATTCAAACAGAAAGTTAAGCTGCTCCTGTCTCTGCATCCAGAGCTCTCTGATTCCTTCTGAGGGGACAAGCTGCTCATCAATAGTCACCAGTCACCTTCTGCAACATTTAATATGGCATCTCAGACACGGAATCTTAAGTACCATTACTGTCCAGCTTCAGCTTTGTAGAAAATGCAGGATACGTGAGCAGATTAGGAGACCACTGATGCACTTGGTTCCTAAAGCATGTGGGTCTGATAGCACAGATAGAAACGGGTTGGGGGGGGGCTAGAATATCTGGCTTTTCTGCTTTGCCTTTAGGCAAATAACTTCATCTTAGCGCTTTAATCCTGTGTTTGTTTTCCTCTGGGAAACGGGGCCAAACACGGAGAAATAAAATCCAGGTCCTCGGTCACGTGAGGTCTGGCCGGCCGTCCTCGGCTCGCCCCCGGAGAAGATTCCTGTAGACGGTGCCAAAAAGCCTAATATGAAGGCGCTGGGATTCACAAATGAACTGCTGGTGTGCATGCACGTGAAGTCTACGAAGAGGGTAAAGGCCACACGCGACAGTGTACTTTCCGATTCCTTTTCACAATCACACTGCACATTCACGACAATCTTTTTGCACCGAAGAATAAAGTGAATATTGTGATGAATTACGACAGAAAAAAAACTGATTTCATCTTTGATTTCATTTTCATCCTCTTCATCGACTTTTTAACAGTCAAGTAAATTGCGTCCTGAAGTTAAATTAAACGTCTTCAAAGTTCTTGCTCACCTTCGACTGTTTCATTGTCCTCATCGGGGTCCTTCTTCCTTGATTCTCAGGCTGCTTCTCAAAAACACTGCACTTCCATCACCGGCAATTTTGACACCCCCATTGAGTTATGGGTATGGGATTGATGGAGCTGGTTAAGGTTTCTGCATAAATTAACAGTACTGCTTGTAACACCAGGGGGCGAAAGCGCGTCTCGTCTCAGAAAATCTGTTCCATTTGGGGGGGGCAAATAAAAACGGACATATCGCTGATTATGGGGCGATGCAGTTTTAATAATTTAGCCACAGTCCAAATGTTACATACAGTATACCGTTTACTAGATGGAAGTTTATGATAGCATTATTGTTGACTTGGTGTCTCGTCCTTGCAGTAGGAGTCTATGAACAATATCTAGTGTACATTTTTGTGCAACACCGTACGCCTGTCGTGCCCTGTGACTGCACGTTTATACAAAATGCTGAGGTGTATTTCTAACTCGTTTTAGATTTCTGTGTGTGGTTTAAGCCCTGCGCGGTTAAAGACTGTGAAAGGCTCTTGGCATCCTTCCGGGCACCAGCTGAAACCTGACAGACACGCTATGCGCCGGTTCACATGAGCTGGACGTTTCTTTAATGTAAACGCAAACGAGGGAGAAGAGAATAAAATTACAATTAAAGCTGTGATTATCAAAATCAACAAGTTGCGGCTTCACGACCACTTTGGCTCAGCCATGACTTGAGAAAATAGAGCTTCGAGACTGTATTTTTTTTTGTGTGTTTTTTTTTTTGGGGGGGGGGGGGGATAAAAAGACACAACCAACAATCTATATAATTACCATCATCTGCTGCTTTTTCCCTTTCTGGCAAAGAAACACTCCATCCATTTGCAGAAATCGCCTGCGGAAACGTTACATCAAAACTAATCATAACGATTAAAATCAGCTTTTCTGTGCAAGAGAAGGGCAATAGGCAAGTTCGAGGCAGACGTGAGGCTGTTTTATGTCGATATTTTGGGAGATCATATTTTATTTTTTTATTTTTAAAATGGACACATTATGAGAAAAAAGGGGCAGTCGTGATGCATCCACGATCAGTTAATTTTACTGGAGTTCTGTTTTGCAGATTGGTTTAGACTGGGGTAGAGGCATGAGCTAATTGTATCCTGATCGTTGCCTTAAGGGGTTCAGAAGCCCCGGAGCAACTATTCTCTCTATTTTGTTCTGTCTACCTTAGCCAAGCTATTGCATTTCTCTCTGGTGTAGCAAGGGAAGCAGATCGCCAACGGAATCGGAGGGGGGAAAGAGTGCCAAAAAGGACATTTCGAGGTTCATCGATGTTTCAGGTAAGGAGCGATACATTTGGATTTGCGATTATTTGCAGAGGCTGGTGCGACCGGGACATTTAGGGCGCAGCTGCATTTACGCATGTGCCAGCGGAGAAGCGCCACACTTCTAACGAATAAAAAAAGACAAATTTAACCACTTCGTGGATGTCCGACAGCCGGTCGCGTCCCACAAAAACCGAAGGGGGATGAATTTGTGGATTTATGACTCCGTTGAAAACACGGGAACCTCCGAAACCGCTTGCGCCCTCGATCTGAACCGGCTTCCGGCGTGTAGCCGAGACCCCCGAATAGCAAAAAACTGTCATTTGTTCTGGTGCGCAACGGTGCCCCTCGTTTATAGTGTGTCACCGTGAGATTTCCGATCTAGCTTTCACAGATCCTGGGTAGTTTTATATACCAGTTTTATTTTGTGAATGTCCCAGATCAGTTAATGAAAGACGCCATTGTGGAGTAATTTTGCCAAGGGGGATTTGCCTTATTTTGTTAGACAGGAGGTACCTATTCCAAGTGCGTCAATGCTGATCACATGAATCACCCCTTTGTACTTGCCGTCTTTTGTAACGTGAGCCTTTTCTTTGTAAACCTGGAGGGAAAAAAAAACGCTTTCTGTTGCCTGGGAAGGAGAATACGGTCTCTGGTGGGCTGACCCAAGCCAGCAGTGCAATGATTTCCAATAGCTGCAAACAATTTGAAATAGCGCAGGTCTCTGCCGTCGCTGCTATTTGTTTTACACTCCCGTAAAAACAAAGGCAGAAGTCCGTGCTTTTCTACAAATTCGACTCCCCTGAAAGTTAGATGGGGCAGTGCGAGGTCTCTCTTCAGCTACAAAAAAAATGTGGGACCTTATCACGAAATCAGACCGTAGCGAGACGACGAAGTAATTAACATTACGTCGTTTCAGTGTTGCTGGGATTTACACGTTTATATATACTTTGCACTTAGTTTATGCCGAAATTCAATAACGCGACGTTGGGAGAAAAAGTGTAAATGGAGAAATGACCGAGTCGTAAGAAACACTACCGCCATTGTGTGGTCAGTGGAGCTAACTTTGACTTTTGGCTTGGTGAGCAGAGTTATTATCCTCAAATTGCATTACAAATTATGTTAATTGTGGCAAATATGCAATCGGAAACGACCGAGTGGCTTGAGGTTTTTTTGCGTTTTGCTTGTGTTAAACCAGATTGTACCGTTGTATGAAAATAATTTATTAATAGTTCCATTGCCTTTACGTTCATAAAACTAGCTTGGAGTAGCCTATGTCTTTCTTAAATCGTGTGCAGTGCATCACTTTAATGATATTTCTCGGTAGCAAGGTATTTACGTAATTACAGTGTAGGTTAATCAATCTCAGAGTAAGTCACAAAAGTATACTTTGTATGTCTGTGTAATAACTGCACACATTATGCCGACACTGAGGTTTTTGAGTATTTTTTTTCATGTGCATCGACATTGCGCAGGGCTACACGCTAGAGGGCGCTGTTGTGGTATACCCGGAATACCTCCCTCCCACCACGGATGTCCACAAGTAACTAAATTTAGTTTAGAAATGTTCCCACTGAGAAGAACGGCCTGAAAATACATGGATGAATAGATATGTTTCCGTTAAGATGACGAAAAATTATGCTACATCGGATCTTCAACTGCTAACCATGGCAAACAAACTTCGGAGAGCTCTCATCGATTTTAAGGGTCTAAATATTACATTTGAATGGTTGTGATTATCGTGTATTAGCATTGAGGGAAATCGTTCGGATTACGATGAACTTGGCGGGGTTACAATGTCAGTAGTCCCTTGAAGTTTCAAAGACATTCTGGTTTGTCAGAGCCGAACATTTAATAGCTTTTAACTTTTGATTTTGAGAAAGATCTCCCTGTCACTGATTTAGAGGCAAAGTCATGAGTTGTGGTCGTTGAAAGCCTGGCACATTGTACATTTTTCCGTTAGGAACTGATAGAAATATCTGGTCAACTGACTCACCCTTACTTCAATAGATAAATGAAGGGTCCAGGTTGAACGAAAACCAGCTTGGATAGATGTTATACATGATCAGAATTAATAGAGTAGATTCCTCTATAGAAAGTGGGTCGACCTTGATCAGCTCATCATCCTGACTGATCAGTAGAGATGGAAACTAAGCATAGTGCCAAAATGCACCGTGATGTGACGGGGATGTGGGGCAACCGACTTTATAAGGGAATGTGTAGTAATTAGTAGGGGTGTTTCACGTTAGATTTGCGGAGTATTTCCGTTATTTGTAGTAATGTAACTGCTTTTCGTTCACTTAAACAATAAACTCGTGCTACATTTGCAAGGTGGTGCCGAGTTATTTGCTTTGCATTTAGTGTTTCTGAAAGCGTTATACTTCTAGTTCTGTAAGAGACATTCTGCATTAGACTTTCCCTGCCAAATTAGGATGGTTTACAGGTATGGATCTCGTTAGTTTCTAACTGATGAGTAAAATGGAAGATTACACTTTTAAAAGTACACCATAATTGGGAATAAGATGTACTGAGGAGGCCGTCGCACCGTACTGAGAGTAACAGAACATATTCTGATTATTAATAACTGTTCTATTTAGGCAAAAGTGTATCCAAACGCAAAGTTATGAATGATGACAGGTTCCCTCCACCCGAATCTAAATGCACCGATTTCTGCAGCATGGCTATTGTTTTGTTTTGTAAGGTGGACGGGTCTCTTTATACTCGCGTAGCCGTTCAGCAAGTCATCTCTCATCGACCCTGGAAGCCCTTTGTACCGGTACCTGGATGACCCGCCTTCCCAGTCGTGCTTCAGATACGACTAAAGACACGGAGCTGAAGAGCACAAAAGCTGCGTCTGGGAAAGCTGGAGAGACGGGGTGCGAAGCGCAGCTGTGCAGATCGACACACCCCATAAGCGCCGGGATGCGCCCCCGGTGCGTTACACGCAACACCGGGTCTGGGCAAAGTGCGCTCTGAAAACTGAATGCATTCTGAGCGAGAGGGAGGGCGAATCAGCCGGAGCCGGTGAAGGACTTCACACTTCATTAAGTTACATATACTTATATAGGCTAAGAGCGCGGGGATCCTTCAGCGCATCCAGGTCAGCGTCGCGGGGTAAAAAGTTGGGTAGTAATGGGGACTCCTTCTGCATGTGAGATCCCCGAACAGACGCCAGATTTGTGAAATACGTCTACCGCAGTCATCCCAGAAAAGCATTTTCTCCCGAAGACCACCGCAGTAGAAGCTTTGGGTACGAAAACAAAGCGACGGCATCGGGATGCAGACGCTGGCGAGGGTCGCGAAGTTACCGAAAGCGTGCGCGGGACAGAGCCTGAGCGGAGGGCTCTCATGCCCCGAGCCTGGCTTGCCTCCTGCGCACATATCCCCGCAAATGGGTGCCAGAGCCCCGGATCGTTTCCAGCCGCACCGAGTAGGGGATGGCGCGGAAAGCGCACGCCGGAAAGCACCGAGGCGGCCGCGGCAGATGCACGCCGCCACGTCGTACGGAGCCGGCTCTCCCGAGGATCTCCGCGCGGGATTGGCGGAGCCGGTCGCCGGTTCGAGACGGGAGGGTGGCGCCGCGGCTCCACACAAGGCTGACGGACGGTCCGCCTATAAGTCGCCGACTTCTGTGCCCCAAACGCAGGTAACGGCGGATCGTTATAGCTGGAGATTTATCCTAAAATGGGGTGTCGTTGGGGTAACCCAGCGTCCCACAAGATGTGCATTTAAAATAAATCACTTAGATTGCTATTCATTCTTGGGATCCACACATGGGTTACGGTTAATCTGGTTATAAAGTGGCTCACGATAAGATAACACACAATGCTTCCTTCTTAACTGGAATTAATTAACTTAATTTTAAAAAATGCTTTGACATAGCGTTGGGTTCCACCATTGATTTTTGGTTTCTTTCATATGTTTGCATCTAAAATTCACACGTCCCGACTTTGCGTGATAGTTTGTGTTAATAGGGGTTTTCACAAGAACTTCACAATTTTCTCAAAGTCAGGGCGAGCTTTCTGTGGGCACTTGGCAAACTCCGGCGACACAGCGGGCTTCATGTCGCATGTCGGGGTCGAGCGTTTTCACTGCACTGCGCCACCGCTGGGACCCATTAAGACCGCCCTGGGGGAGAGCAGGGAAGGGTATCGCGGATAAATGAATGCCTAGCGCTTCGAAACGCAACCTTAAAATGACTCCCGAGATATTCTACAATGCTTCCTTACCCAACGCAAACATTTGATTATTTCCTTTTATTTGTCTATTATTTTTAAGCTTTGATAAAAAAAAAAAAAATCCAGAGCTAAATTGGTTTGTCGTTTTGGTTTGAGTAAAATTAGACCGTCCACCCTCAGCCAACCTTGGAGACGAAAATGGATTTTGGGACCTCCTACTGTGTGTGTGTGTGTGGGGGGGGAGGTTATGTATATATTACATTGTAGGGACCAAATGTCCCAACAATGTGATAAAAACCTGTTCTTCTTCCATTGTGGGAACCATTCTTTGGCCCCCAAAAGGGGAAACTCGATTTCATAAACATTTGTGACTGCAATCAAAAAGCTAAAAATGCCAAAAGTCTTGTATTTTGTTTGGTTACTTATGGTTAAGGTTAGGACTGGGTTAGGGGTTGAGGTCGTCATTGTTGGGATTAGGGTTTTTCGAAGAAAATGAATGTAGAAATGAATGGATGTTCCCCACAAAGATATGAATACAAACCTGTGCGCATGTGTCTGTGTGGATATTTCATTCATTCATTTCTGCTCAGTCCCTGGACAGCTCAGCAAGTGCTGGACCGAGGTGATCCTGCAGCCTGTCCCACAATGAGAAGGTAGTAGGGCAGCGGAAGCCCCAGATGGCATGCCAGTTTGCTGCAGTTGCTGTAGTTTAACAATGAGCAGTTTTAGTGTATTAACAAACTGCACGGTGAGGCCGTCCTACAATTCCCAGCATGCCCTTCAAGGGCGTCGACCTTCATCCTGACATTGTGTCTGCAGGTCTGCGATCCATTGAGAAAAAGAAATGACTGAAAACTAGAGTCTTGTGCATGGTGCCGTGTTCGGTTTAATTTAGGGAGAACTGAATCGCAGATAAAGGAGGTACAGTGTATATGTATAGAGCTTAATGGTTTGCTGTAGCTATTTTAAATGAATTTTAAGCCATATATGGTCTTTTCTTGTCCTGTTTATGTAGGCACCTGGTAACTACACAGCTTGGATCCAAATGAAACATCAGTGATGTGAAAACAGCAAGAGTATCTGGAAATATGAAATCATTTTAAGTGATTTGAAAGTTAGAGGGGTGTTGAACTTAAAGTCATCCTTGAGGTTGTGTGGTTCATACCACCATCATACAGAATTGGGTGACAGTGCCAAGACTTCGGAGGACTCCCGTGATGCGGCGAAATGGGTCAGTCCGGCCTGTGATTCATCACCTCTGACAGGCGGAGCTGCGGCCTGCGGTGGGCTGCTTGTTGTGTCGTACCTTTTTTCAGTTTGGGGGGGGGGGAGTGATCCGTCACTACAAGTGGTTGTGACAGCAGGGCTTGGGGCAGCTTGCCGCTCTCACACACCACCCACCCCCACCTAGGATGGAACTCGGGGTGTCTTTAGGTGAATTACCAGTAACCCCCCCCCCCTCCAAACTGGAAGTGGGAGTGTCCTGGACCCGTAATGGCTTTGCGTCCAGCCAGGTGTGGAACTCAGTCAATCGACCCGCCAGAGCTTGAAGATGGTGCCCCGCCGTCTTGATTAGCAGCCGCGGGGTCGCGGGGGGTTAAATATCTTCCTGGATGCTACTGGATACCTCAGCTGGGTACCTAACCTGCTGCAGCAAACCAACTCCATACACGCCTTACAGAAATGTTCAATGAGTCAGACTGATAGAGGCTTCTGTCTAAGTAATGCTTTGTAAATTATGTAAAAGGACAGGTTTATATAGCACATTATTACACATATAACAAGAATCTGACACAAGGTTTCACTGAAGTTTCGGAGAATCCGGAATGCAAAAGCCAAAGCACTGGTTACATTCTAAAGCCTTTATGTTATATGAATTGCCTTGTATCCTTGTGAATTGAGGTTACGCTTAATATGGTGTTTAGTCTCTTTGTTACCATGGCTTCCATGGGCTCTCCAGGGCAAAGGTTTCGAAGGTTTTAATTAGCCTGGGTGTTCTTCGTCGCATAACGATTATGATTCCATCATTGCCATTCCTAGTGCTGTTTCACCGGGCAGATTATTGGAAAAGACTCTGTGCGTTTTCCGGGCGAAGTGTTTCCAACCCCCCACTCCCCCCCCCCGTCATGCTTGATGGAAATCCTGTCTGACAGAGCCGGGACGCCCTGTCACTTGGCCCCTTTGTGCAGACAGTCGTGTCATCCGCCGTGGCCCCGGGGCTGCAGTCTGGCCCCGCCTGCCCGGGGGCCTTATGCTCGCCCCAGGCTCTGCAGCCAGCCTTGCAGTCCTGATGGTCTGTGCTAGAACAGGACCCACGGAACGTACCATTATACTGAAATGCGTGGGGGGTGTCAGGGCAATATTCTCAGAGGTTCCCTCCCAATGGAACAGCCCTGCCTCAGCAACTAGGGCAGGGTTTGGGAACCTGATCCATGGAGGGTCGGTGCAGGATGGCATCTCAATCAGCCAATAATATTGGGTCCCGAGGACTGGAGCTGAGAACCACTGATTAATTATTGGCTGAGAGGTCATCCCAAAAATCCACACCCACAACTGCTCTCCATGGATCAGGTTCCCCACCCCTAAGCTAGGGAATGCTGGGTAATTTTTACAAAGCAGTGATTCTCCTGCTTTTGTAATTAAACATCCATGTTCAGTCAGTCATACTGGAGTTATTTTAAGTTACTATGATGTAATTGATTATAAGTTTATTTGTTTGTGAAAAGCCTTTTTTAAATATAAGATATCAGTTCTAATGTAGCTTTGATGGGATATGAGGTATAACAATTATTTCAGTTGAGTGAACATTAAACGTAGACATAAATTGTGACCCAACAAGAGAAGCCATTCTTGCTTTCGTTGCATAGCGTTTCGTTGCGTAGCGTTTCGTTGAGTAGCGTTTCGTTGCGTAGAGTTTCGTCGCGTAGCGTTTCGTCACGTAGCGTTTCGTTGTGTTTTTTTGTTGTGTTTTATTTGTTCCTTGTCTGTTGTTGGAAGGTTAATCCAGAAGGTCAATCAGTCTCCGTTTATCTTCCCGACGCAGGACAACCGGACCAACATGTCACGTCCCATGATAACCAGGTCACCGGCCTCGCCCCTCAGCAGCCAGGGAATCCCCACACCAGCTCAGCTCACCAAGTCCAACGCACCCGTGCACATCGATGTTGGCGGTCACATGTACACCAGCAGTCTGGCCACCCTCACCAAGTACCCCGAGTCCAGGTGAGCCCCCGCCTCAGAACCAAGAAATCTCCTAATTAAATTCAGACGCTCCCCGGGTAACGACGGGGTTAAATTCCGATAAATCATAAGGCGAAAATATCGCAAGGTGAAAATGCATTTTAATACAGCGCGCATAGCCTAACAAACATATCCTACCTTAAACATGCTCAGAACACTTAAATTAGCACATTAACACAAGGCCTATTTCATAATAAAGTGTCAAATATCTCATGTAATTTATTAAATGATCATACCCATCGTAAAGTCGAAATATCGTAACGCAGAGCATTGTAACCTGCGGAGCATCTATATTAATCAGCACAGTGAGGTGATCATAAAGGCTATTACTGCCCATAATGCTCTTCAAAGAGAATCCATCTACAATAGACGAAATAATACAAAACAATTTACAATGAAGCGTCTGAGGTCCAATCGCAATTCTGTACACGTGCTGCATTGGGAAGCGCTAATAAAAAATGAAATGGAACGCAATTTACTAATTTAACAGATGATCCATTGGGTGCTTGTGACGCATGCTGTCTGAAAGAGGATGGCCGCTGTCCGCAGGCTGCGTCATTTAAAATTACGCTCTTGAGAAGGCTGCCTGACCATGTTACTGTTAGATATTTTAAGAAACATTTTTTTCTGAATTCTGCTGAATCCATTGTATCAGAGGTACAATTTTAGATCTTCAACGATAATGAATGACTGCTCGAGTGAGATCCTATGCCATCCATCCCATTTGGTCTCTCCGACCTGTCTGTCTTCATTAGCTTGGAGAATGGTTCATTGTCACCCTTCATGACGCCGGTTTAATGTTGTGTGACATCCATCCTGAGCAGTCCGGCTAATGCAGGGTACCGTAAGCAGTTCTGTGGTGCTAGCTGGACTCCCTGAGCCAGCTGTAACAAATTAGTTGACCAGAATTAGCGTTGGCAAGGTGACAGATGGCTTTGGGAGAATGTGCCCTTTAGTGACTGATATTCCATTGTGCATCCGGAAATCTGCCCGTTTTTTTGCTCAAAAGGCATTTTTCTGGGCTGAAATGGCAGGGCTGTCCATGGTGGAGCTAGCAGGGAGGGTACATAGTGCCCCCAAGCTGTGCAGTGTTAACATGACGGATTAAAGATGCCCGCAGAGGGAGGCTATTGCCATTGATGTAGGAGTTGCTGGAACGTGGGACACTGTCCTTCAGAGACGACGCTTTGCTCCACAGGATCGGCCGGCTCTTCGACGGCACGGAGCCCATCGTGCTGGACAGCCTCAAACAGCACTACTTCATCGACAGGGACGGACACATGTTCCGGTATATTCTGAACTTCCTCAGGACTTCTAAGCTCCTTATTCCTGACGACTTCAAGGTGAGTATCACCAAAGCCTCCAGTCAAGATGTATATGTGTGTGTGTGTGTGTGTGTGTGTGTGTGTATGTGTGTGTGAAAGAGAGAGAGAGAGAGATTGAGAGAGAGAGAGAGATTATGCCGGATTTACTACATCATTTACTACATCAACCTAAAACTCTCAGTCATTCAGTGCATTGCAGACTCTCTATACTACAGTAGTGAGGGTTGATCAGTTAAGAAATCCAGAGCCATGAGCCGCAAATCATTTGAAACTATGGCTTTTATAGAAACTCCATTGATCTCCGGTGCAGTTGACTGTGGGAAAATGCTGTGCAGTCAGCATTTTATCTAGATCTTCGCCAAATATTTCTAGGAAGGATATCAGCTCCTACAATCAGTCTGTTTTTCTTTCTTTCTTTTTTTTTTTAATGGTAATAGTCCTTGGGATCTAAGCACTGGGACCAGTTACTGGGAAACATGGTACCCCTGAAGAGGGATAGGCCAAATGCCAGAGGGCCTTTTCTCTATACACACTCACAATCCCACTCTTCCTGTTCTCTCTCTCCCTCCATTCTCTCTCCTCCCCACCCTCTCCCATTGTCTGCCCCCCAACCGCAGGACTACAGCCTGCTGTACGAGGAGGCCCGCTACTTTCAGCTGCAGCCGCTGCTGGCCGAGCTGGAGCGCTGGAAGCAGGAGCGGGAGCTGGGCTGGGCGTCGCGGCCCTGCGAGTGCCTGGTGGTGCGGGTGGCGCCGGACCTCGGCGAACGCATCAGCCTGAGCGGCGACAAGGCGCTCATCGAGGAGGTCTTCCCCGAGATCGGCGACGTCATGTGCAACTCGGTCAACGCCGGATGGAACCACGACTCCACGCACGTCATCCGCTTCCCGCTCAACGGCTACTGCCACCTCAACTCCGTCCAGGTGACTGACCTCCACTTAACCACAAGAGAAACTTCCGCGAGCCTCATTCCGGCGTCTGGGTTCCCGCAGACCTTTTGCTAATAACGTTTAAGTCCTTCATCTCTCGTTTCCATTTGCCCCGCCCTCGTTTCCATGTGTACGTCACGCATCTGCTCCGAGACCGAGAGACATGCCATTAATCTCCTTCGCCTTGTGCTGTGCCCCCCCCCTCCCTCCCACCCCCCCAAAATTCCTGCTCCTTTGGAGAGAGTGCGAATTTGGCTCCCCCAAGCGGGAGCGGCTTTGAAGCAGCCCGCTAGCGAGGCCTGGCTGGGGGCTCAGCTATAATCCTGTTTGGTTATTAAAACGAGATGCCACTGGGCTTTTCGTCTGCTCTAATGGAGTAGAGAGGGGGCTAGTGCCAGCAGTCAGAGACCTTTGTAGTCTGGCATGCCATCCAGCCCCAGGCCTGGCAGACAGCTGAGCTCTACAGCATCCAAACGGCCCAGAAAACCCACAGTGCCCCCTGGGGGCCTCTTAATGGAATGCGGGCCCAAGCCCTCCGGAAATGTCTGCACATGTCTACAGGGCTGGAGGATTATGGGAATGGGGGTGTGGACGTGTGCTCACAATGAGGGGCTTTATTAAGCGACACAAACAGCACGTTTGTACCTATCTGTATGTCCATCTGTCCCTAACATTTAATTCTATATTTTATGTTTTGTGACAAACAGGGCTAAACGCAGGTATTCAGTATACATTCGATACCATCTGTCGGTGTAAAAGCCGTTGGTTCCTTTCACCGACGCTGATGTTTTGTGGCTGTAGATGTGCAGTTTTGTTCGTTGGCCAGAGGTGGCGCCATAACGCGACATGCCGTACTCTCCAGGTGCTGGAGCGGCTGCAGCAGAGGGGGTTCGAGATCGCCGGCTCCTGCGGCGGCGGCGTGGACTCGTCGCAGTTCAGCGAGTACGTCCTGAAGCGAGACACCAGGAGGGGACAGAGAGGGTCCGGCATCATCCGGATAAAACAGGAAGAGCTGGACTAAGATGGTGGTCTCTGTTCCATCTCCGGGCCAAGAGACATATTTAACTGTGTCACCTTTAATACGGCATCTGGAGAACCCGTCAAAGGGAAAACAAAGAAGATTTTTTTTATTAGAAGAAAAAACCAAGTACTGAGCCCTGAGGAACATTGTTGTCTGGCGGGATCGCCGGGCCCATTATCCAGACCCAGGACTCCACTCCCAGGCTCCAGAATAAAGTTTGTTTTAGAACTTTGATGCTCTTAATGCTCCTCAACTGATACGAAGGGGTTCCGTTCTCCCCGCTGGTCGCCACCATTTTCAGTACGCCGATAAGTCCCACAGGCAGCTGGGAACACAGCTGACATATTCAATGATTTTGGATATTTTATGTGCTTAGTCTATAATGCTGCTTTGTGTTTTTCTTTTTTTAATTAAAACTTTTTGAAATATTATATCCTTTATATATGTACATGACCCGAAATAGACATGGTTAGACTAGTACATTCCGTTTTAATTTGTATACATTCGCAAAGGTTTTTTTTTTTTGTTTTTATTTTTAAAAATGCCAGATGCACATTGTGGTTTACTCAGTTACAAAAGTACATATGACACTTCTGGTATATATACATATACCCACACTCACCGTGAACAGAAAGAAGGATTACCTGCATGCTGTGGTCTACAAAAGAATATGAGAAAAATTGTGCTTTGTGGTATAATAATTTCCGGGGCAGCATACACAGTGCAGAGTGAAACCGTCTATTAAAATTAGCTGAGCATTGCCAGTAAGTATTGATGGCAGTTCTGACATAACAAGAGCACCTGAGCTGCCACCCCTGGCCTTCCCCCAGCAGCTGCGCAAGGAGACGGATGTTTCTGGAGAACGAGAAGCTGAAAATGGACGTCTGCCTTCGTTCATTTATCGTGCCATTCTGCCGAATTCCGGCTCCATCCAAGCCCATTAGTCTTCCTCCTCCAGTTCATCACGGTTCCTCAGCCAAGAGCCGATACAGCCATGTGTGATTTTCCTGCGGTCCCAGTTCGGGGCCGAGTGGGACACCGTGGTTGGGTAGGTCTCTGTGTGCTCTGGGGATCCCAGCTCTCCCAGTCCGCATCCCCTCTCAAACCGCCGAAATGTGCTCTAGCGCTTCCTCTGAAAACTCAAATTCCATCATTCGTTGTGTTTGTACTTTTTTAAAATTAAATAACCCAACAGTGGCACCTATGAGACCTGTGTGATGTGCTGGATTTTTAAAACATTTAGACTCAATGTCGATGTAATACAAAAGTTCCAAAAGCTGAGGGTAAATGTACCCTATCAAGGGAGTATTCGAGAACAAATGAAGAAGAGTTGAAGGTCTTCTTGAGGCATGGAAGTGAGGCTTTCACAGATACAGTCTCCGTATCTCCTAGCAGCCTACTGGACAGCTGGGTGTAGTGGGGTTTGTAGTCCTACAAGAATTACATGGAGGTCCTTCACCCACAGTTAGCCCTTTCCTCCTCGACATTTACTCATTTGTGGTGAGTCACAGACCTGCCAGTGGGCAAACCGTTGACCCAGATTCACGTGTCGCTGGCCTATTACTTCAGCGGGCCAGTTTCTGGTGGGTGTTTCTGGCACCGTGATGTACCCCATATTCCTATCTGTAGACCCAAAACCTCAGCCTCCCTTCCCTTGTCTCTGTCCACTAATGCCCCTGTCATTCCCATCCAAGGAAAATCTTAGATGGTGTCACAGTACATCTGACCCAGGGAAACATCTCAAAGAAAATTAAAGAGACTCTTTCATCTTAGTCTTGCTTATTTTCTGTTCTTTAACTATCTTAACTTAAGGAAACGCAATCCCCTTACGGTACAGAATACTTGGCAAGGATGCTTTGTTCTTTAGGCAACTTTGAATGCAGCGATGAGTCAGTCATAAACATTTTCCTCTGGGGTAATAGAACAGCATGAGCCAGGAAATCAGATGGAGTTTCGAAGGGCTACGGACATAAAGGGTTTTGTGTTCTTAATGTCACAAAACGTGCTGGAATCATTTCTATTTCACACATGTTTCTGTTGTCAATGGCCTGGTTAAAAAAGAAGGCAAAAAGAAACCAGACTGTCTATAAACATTACTTGATTTATTCCAAATGCAACAAACTGTGCCAGCTGACTGAATAAAGGAAGTAACCTTGCAGTTGAGACTGCCGTTTGTGAGTCGCTTGGGCGCGAAAATGATTTGAACTCTACGCAAGCACATTTTAGGAAGACTAGGCAACAACATTATGTTTCATGACTTTGCTACCCACGATGACTGAGAGAAAGTGATATTTATGGATGGAAAATCCCCCTGTTGAATGTCGGCTCTGTATCTCACCATGTGGATTAGTGAACGTAACCAATACAGGTTTAGCCTTGCTGATTGTAAATCCTTCACATTCCAGATGGATCAGTCTACTTTAGCTTAATGTGTATCGGTAATTTTTTAACCGTACAATTTGGAGAAAGATCAACAGTGGAAAAACATTAGCTAACCTTGGATTCAGGTACTGGAATAAAGGGTCATAAAAACCTATCAACTATGCATTGCTGTTGTGAGGCTGAGTATAATTGTATTAACAGAGTATAGGTGTGATTATAGGTAATAGGAGTATGACACAATCCTTCATACGTACAAAACATAAAGAGGCAAGGATTCTGCAAATTGGTATCACTATTTCCAGGCCTTTACAGAGATTCCTAATTCCTAGTCATATAATCTTGTATCACGCAAACTCTAGGACTACAGCAACCCCCCTGCATTAGACACTGCAAATTACTCTTTACCCCCATAACTCTTTAAGACTACATTTCCCAGAAATAATCACGGTTGCATATTATCATAAACTTTTGCACTTACTAAATATTTTGGTTTGAATTACCAATTTTGGGTAAATCTTAACACTTCCTCCCAAAAGTGTCACCTGTTCACAAGGTAAAGATTAGGTGTTGGTCATCTTAAAATGTTTTGCAGACTCATGCTTATTTTTATCATGTTGTGCAACAAACACCAACCCAATGAATTAAACACATATTTTGGTTTAAAAACACCATAAGTTAAATGTGGGGGAGTGCCTTTTTAGGCTGACCTCATTTCTGGCCATCAGAGGCAGTTTGCTATGCAAGCTAGACCCGCAGGTCAGCATTAACAGGGGAAGAGCTAACGACATGCCCACCGCACTGCTTCCTGTGTGGATTAACCGCTTTTATAGTACAGGCACAGTTTTCCTTGCTGTTGGCAGACGGTGTGATGTAATATAGGCACGACATGGAGGGGAAAACCAGCCTGAAAGGAACACTGGCTCTTTTGGAATTGGCAGTGCAAACAGAACCACAGGCTCCGGCACAGACGCTCTCAGCGCTGAAGCGGGGCTGCGTCTGTCCAGCAAACAGAACTGGGTCACTGTGTCCGGTCCCGGGCGCGTCAGACCCGTGCTGGCTGCTGGGCTCGCCCGCCTTGCCCGGCCGCCCCGGGGCACTGGGCGGCCTTAAACACGGGCGTTCCTCAGTCTCTCTTTCCCGTGAGAAGTAATTTAAGCGGGCGACCTTTTAATTTATTACTTTACCATCTTATGTTTCAGTTATAAAAATAGCATTGTTGGTTGTCTCCCGGGAGCACGAGTGCCTGGGAGTATTTTTTAGGCTAGGAGAGGTCTCCTGCCAGCAAGCACCGCGCCGCCATTATCTGTCTATAGGGCGGTAGTCTTTACATCTAGGAGAATCAGGGCAGTCCCGCATTAATGGGAAGCATAATTAACCTCTCTATTCCTAAGGACGCTCGGTTCAATAGTTAGCTTAGCGACTGCGCCGATCTAGCCGAAATCTGGCTGTCGCCCTGGACGGGGAGGTTAGCTGTAGCAGAACTTTCAGCTCCTTCGCAGCAAGAAGGCAAGGCAATCGGGAGGGGCCTAGCACCCCCCCGGCTCCCCCCTCCAATCTGCGGTATCGCAGCTTAGCCTAGAGCTAGCAGGAGAATTTACATTCTAGCCTTAAGTGAAAAGGAAAGAAAATGGGAGGAGGGGAGAGAAAGGACTCGGGGGCTGAGCGGCTGCGAGGCGATCTGGATTATCTTTAAAGGCTCAGGGTGATATCTGCAATTTATACAGCAGCATTTCTAAAGAAACCAAGTGATTAATTTGCATGCTTCGCAGCCCGGGGTTGACGGAGCCGCACAAACGGGAAAGCCGATACCGACTGAACGAGCGCACAGACGCTGAATATTTAATATTTACTTCTCTGAACACCGCTGTCTCACCCCAAGTGTACACGTACGACATAAATTATGGAGGATGTTAGTAACAAATTAGTTTATTCTAAAGAAGATTAGTGTAGGATCCATTCTCAGGGGCTCCTGACAATTAAAACGGTAAATATTTTTACAGCGGTGTACATATTAAATCCTTTCATTAAGATATCATTTAAACCCATTGCACTAAATCCTTGTACCCCGAAAATGACTTTGTGCCCTGTTTAAGATAGGATTTTAATAGTGCAAATCAGGTTAAGTACTTTGTTCAGAAGTACTACAGCAAGGTCCCTCATGGGGAGTTAACTGTAGGTGACCTAGTTACAAGTGATCTTAACCACTTACTCAACCGCTGCCCAAATTGTTTTAAAGACCCTATAATAGAATTGGATGTGGTATAGGAGATTGCTTAGAAAAGAGGTTTTGGACATGCATAGGTGCATAGCATTATGGTCTAGGTTACAGTCGCATTTTTGGTTGTAAAACTGTTTAATATTCCTCTTGAAATTAATGAAAGCAGACATGTGACATAATTTGTTTTTGTGGTTTGTTTTTTAATTGGAGCTGTTATGAATGAGATGTCCAATAGAACTGCAGTGGCTGTAGAGGGTGTGGTGAATGTGTGCGGTTCAGATGGGGAGTGAACACCTGGTGTCGACGCACACACACATTGACACACACACCCAGCCACAAAACGGTGCAGTGTGCTCTGAGCCCAAGGCTGGGAGCCTCATTCCTGCTATGCTCAGATCCATCGCGTCTGACTCGAGCTGCTCCATAGTCCCAGCATGCAGTTCCTTTTTATTTTGGCATGGTCTCAAAATTCCCTAAAACTAATAAGAAAAACGCAAGGAAGAGGGTCTCCGATCTAAGCCTTGTGAAAACCAGGAATATCAGACCCATGTATTGAGTATATCTGATACTGAATCCATCTGTTTTCTATAACCACGTGTTCTACACAGGATTGCAGAGCCTATCCAGGAAGCTACAGGTGCAAGACAAGGAATATCCCAGGACAAGGCACACTCACACACCATTCACACTCACAGACACACTCACACACCATTCACACTCACAGACACTCACACACCATTCACACACACAGACACACTCACACACCATTCACACTCACAGACACACTCACACACCATTCACACACAGACACACTCACACACCATTCACACCTACAGGCTGTATTGGCAACTCCAACTCACCATAGCACGTTTTTGGACTGTGGTAAGGAAAACCCATGACAACCCACACACATGCATGGAGCCAGGGCAGAGACTTGAACCTTGGTCCCAGAAGTGTGAGGCTAAGTGGCTGGTCGTCACCTAGACTCCCTTTTGGGGCAGTGGTGGCTATACTGGTTAGGGAAGCGCACTTGTAATCAAAAGATTGCTGGTTTAAATCCCCAACCAGCAAATTACCACTGAAATACCCTGAGCAAGGTACTGCCCCCAAGTACTGCTCCCCGGACGCTGAATTAGTTGCCCCCTGCTATTTTGTTGTTGTGTGCTGTGGTGTGTCAACAATGACAACTAGTCACTTTCATTAATTAAAAAAAATATCCCAGCATATGTTAAATGTATCGTATAATTTCACATACACACTACCACTGACTTCATGCCAGTTATCTAATACAGATTTTAGTCACTATGGTCCCAAACTCTGGAGTTCTCTCCCAGAAAACCTGACAGCTACGGAATGTCTTAGTACTTTCAAAACTAGGCTGTATGCAGGTTTTTGGGATAACCTGTAGGTCAGCTGTTCAAACCCAGGTGTGAGGACTCTTCAGCCAATCAGTCCTCTAATTAGTAATCTAATTAGGGAGTTGCAGCGAAAACCCACATACTGTACACACCAGCCATTTGTGGATAAGATTGGCCACCCCTGGGCTAGAGTCCCCTGTGAGGTAGGGGCTAGAGGCTAGAGTCCCCTGTGAGGTAGGGGCTGGAGTCCC